GTTCAGTCAGTACAGAGGCTCAGCTCAGCCATTTGGTCTGGGACGGGAAGAAAGAAAACATTCCATGATGGTGTCACATCTCCTTCATATCAGATCAATAGAAACAGCCCATGGCACATCATTTCCACTACATAGCCTACCTACTATATAACCTAGTTTGTTGTTCTGTGTGCTAATAGCAATATGAGAGAAAAACATAAAACTACTAGCCTTTTACAGCCAAAGCTCAAACCTCCATTGCTCTCCCATTTACAACACTGACCCTGTTTGGTGGGGTTTTGAATGTGTGTGAATATACAACAAGTGTCAGACGCAACACCTGGGGGAGAAGGGTCTGGGTAGCCTACACACCACAGACTAAGGTGACACTCCTCAGTCCTCATCACACTGAACAGTGACTTCAGTCTTCTCAGTGGGGCATGACTAAATCAGCTCACATTCCACTAATTACAAAAGGCACATGGGTGAGCTAATGTGGTCTGGATGGAACCCACCATAGAGTATCATACCCCTCGGAAACACGATTTGTGCAGTCCCCATTCCGTCATCACTGGCACCCACATACACACTGTGGAGGTTAGGCAACCTATTCCCTATTTAGTGCACTACTTTTGACCAGTGCCCATTGGCCTCTGGTCAATAGTAGTGCACTATATAGACAATAGGGTGCCATTTGGGAGTCAGCCAATGTCTGACGAATGGGTTACAATAACCCTGGTCCCATTATGAGGGGGATGTTGTTTTAGGGAAATGTCTCCCAGTTTCACCATCTTCAAGACACTGAGGGCAGTAGTCAAATAAGAAACCAGTGAGATTGCACTTTACTGCTTTAAAAACCTTGTGTTTTATAGCGTACGTACAGCGCCATTGAATACAAAGGCTTGTATATAATTGTATTGCTGCTGCACATCAATAACGGTCCAATAGTATGGAGGAATTTGCATTGTTGAAGCTTGACCCACAGGACATTTAGCTTGCTGTATCCTACAAGCAATAGCTACACACTGGGTAAAATTAGACCTTCCAGTGGTCTTCAAATGTTTTTTAGAAAGGTGAAACCGGAAGTGCATGAGCCAGGTAGTAAAGTGAGCATTTCCTGAAAGGACTTTGAACGCCCTCAACTTTAACTAGCAGGATTTCAACACAGGTGCAACGCCTTTGTCACAAAGAGCAGCAGCATCACTGTGACTGATACCAATTCACTCTCTCATAAAAACCCAGGTATGGAAATGAACAAAGATCAAAGTCCCTTGAAAAACTGAGACAAATCCTTTTCTGTTGGCAACGTCAGCAGACAGTGGGATCAATGGAAAATGGTGAACTTGGCACCTCTAGTTCTTTCCATCAGTTGTCTGTCTGGTCTCTGTCAGACACAGAGAACAGCATAGCCTATTGCACACACTGAATTCTTATGTAATCATGTAACAGAAAAGGAACATTTTTGTTTTAGGACACTACACATCTGAGAACACAGGCATGAGTTATTGCAATCCATAAGGAGAGCACACGTACCTGTGTGTCTATATGAAAACGGTTTATTTTTTAAGCAATGTGTAGGCTAGATGCAGGCCCAGGCCCATGCTTCAATTGGTTGCTCAGTTGAATCTCTTGCCACACACAACAGACACTGACTGTGTGTGGGTGAGAAGACAACGAATGAGCTACAAAACCGGTACACTTCGGTCAGGGTACAAGGGTTCCATCAATCCTCATGCAATTGCGTTGATAGTGCATAATTGTTAGAGGATTCTATTAGAATGGAACCATTCGTTGGAACGGTTATAAAACAACCGACTGGAATCGCATTATCTGATCTGATGTACGCAGCAGTGCATGCTCTGCAGCTGGGAAACTACAACTATAGAGCGGTGTAATGAACCTTCAGTGATACCCACACGCTGTTCTGTCCCGGAGCGTCTGTCAAATATCGAATTGTCCGGCTATATGTTGGAATCATTCGAAACACGTTGTGTTTTCTACAAGGGAGTATTGCTTTGAGCAGAAATCGGAACAAAAGTCTACATTCTAGGATGCTGTGTTTACAGTTTTCCCTAAGGAAAAATATATGTGATGGCAATCGCCTCCTGTGTTTTGACAGCCTCCATTGGCATCAATGTAGCCTGCTAACGTTAGCCAACCAGCTAGCGAAGATAACTCCGTGTGCAACTAGCTACCACTATTTAAAAATATTTCAACGATTGCATTAAATTCAGTTTGTAAGGGAAAAAACGCTCGCAGACATTACCTACCTCGTATCCTCTTCAACCAGTGCAGTCCGACACTTGTTTATAAAAGTGGAAGTTTCCCAGATAGACTGCCGGGTGCAGATCCAACCTCCGACACGGCACGCTCACAAGTACAGGGAATTGGCTATGACGTCACGAGCACCACAAGCAGTAGCATCCATTTGCCATTGGGAGCACTTGACACTAAAGGACAGTTGTACACATTTAGATGATATGTATCCCATTATCTTTCCAAACTGTCTATGCAGCAATGTGGTTCAATAGCCACTTAGCCAGACTTATTTCTAAGCAATTATGCCGCTGTAGGATGCTGAAAAATTAAGACAGCATTGCAGACCAAGTTTCCAGACAACACAACTTGGGCATTATACATTTTTGAGTGACCCAGTAACATTAAACTGGTCAAGTCCCCTCCCCTAAAGAAGTCACCCAATACCAGATTGAAAGCCGATAGCTGCAGGATGAATGTATCGCATTAGAGAATCAACTGTGAGGAGGCCAGAGCTACATCTACTTCATGTTCCTGCACACACAGACAATGGGATACAATTGTGCCTCCTCATGTGTGCATTCTGCCCTTAGAACATGTTTGAGTAAGTAAAATTCCTATGAGCTCAAGGCTCCTCATATCACCTCACTGGTGCGTCCCTATATCATCTCCTTTCTCCTGAAGTGTGCACATACATTAAAACCATTGGATTGGTGGAAGCATGGCCTTGTGGGAGCTTCCACCATGTTTCTTATACCACTAATTTAATTTCAAGGACAAGGGAAGTGAACAAGATAAGTGCTTACTTTGGGAGGAAGGACAAAGCACAAATATATCACACTCCACACCTGGTAAGGTGAGCAAGTTCATTGGCCACCTTGCATCATGTACATATGAAAGGCAATTTCAGGTTGTGCTGGAGGAAATGTGTTTTTGTTTGACTATTCACCAGCCCTCATGAAAAACAAGGCTAGCTGTGCTAACACCATCATAGGCCTATCCTCCATGGAAACTATGATGACTGGTTGTGTGGCAGAATGGTTTGGATGCATTTGACATTTCAGGGGACAATAGATACTGTATGTCACATCACAGAGGACAAGTGTGAGGGTGCATTGATCCAACTTAAGCTTGTACAATATTTACACAACATTGTCCGTGACCATAACTGCAGTGAAGCCATCTTTAGGTTATTCTCTCCTGGTTAGCATCCCAAAAGGCACCCTATTCCCTATATAGTGCACTAACTACATGGGGCTCTGGTCAAAGTAGTGCACTACATCAGAAGCAGGGTGCCATTTGGGATACACCCTTGGTTTGAAAAGACCCGTCAGAACGAAGCGTGGGAATTAATGCAAAGCTTCTATGAACTCAAAAAGGTACACATACCTGTACATGGAGAGGAAAGCCTCATACTGCTGTTTTAACATACTTCTTCGTCACATACAGTATCTTTAAGATCAATGTGATAACTGAAAAGGCAGATACAAATATTTTTTTAAATAAATAATTAACACCTCTGAATAAACATGGAGCTTACTTTGAGCTAGGGTTATATAAAATAAAAGCTTTTTAGAAAATATCTATAACCGTCTCCTCCCCATCATCTACACTGATTGAATTTAACAAGTGACATCAATAAGGGATCATAGCTTTCACCTGGTCAGTCTGTCACTCTGTGTATATCCCTGTATAACATGTCAAGACCGAATCATCCCTAGATAATGATAGATCATAATAGCAGTTATTTGTTCAAACAATGGAGGACAGGCAGCTCTCTGGAGGACCCACTTTACATCCCATCCCATCCACCCCAGATGACCAAATGATGCAACTAGGCACAAATGCACTACTACAGTATAACAAGAGATATTGAACCTGAGATGATATCTCATGGAATAACATGAATTCTATTACAGTAACAGTGTCAAATATTTTACTAGTAAAAAGGTGCACCCAACTCAGAATGTTTTATGCATAGAGGAAAACACAGACATATAGTATGTTATAAAAACTAAGGCAAATTATGTGCTCGTGTCTGTGTTTAATGCTCAAGATCCATCCACTTTGGTAGTAAAGAGATTTAACAAGCACTGGCTAAGCAATTCATGAGAAGTATGGATATAAATTACAAATAACAGCAAGTTCAGTCTCAGTCAAAATAATAAAAATACGACGCAAGAGCAGCTTAACAATATATTCTGCACAGATCCTCCCGAAAACGAACAGCTATGAAGAAAACATAACTAACCTAGAGATGATGATCTTCATGTATAGCACAGCATCAAAAACAGTCAATTACAAAGGCAGCCAAAGCCTCCAAAATATATACATGTTTTATTCAATACAAATGTAAAATGTTTTGTTGTCAATGGAAGGAATATGGCAGTTAAGAAATGGCGATGGAGAGTAATCCAGCAGTGTACAACCAGGCTTGGCCCAGGCAGCAGGCAGGCAGACCCCCAGACCTCCATCCAGGCTTGGCCCCGGCAGCAGGCAGGCAGACCTCCATCCAGGCTTGGCCCCGGCAGAAGGCAGGCAGACCTCCATCCAGGCTTGGCCCCGGCAGCAGGCAGGCAGACCTCCATCCAGGCTTGGCCCCGGCAGCAGCCAGGCAGACCTCCATCCAGGCTTGGCCCCGGCAGCAGGCAGGCAGACCTCCAAGGCTTGGCCAGGCAGCGGGAGACCCACCCGATAGATAGGACCATCGTGTCAAAGTAAAAGAGGTAAGTAGGTAGCAGCGTCGGACTAGACAGTGCACCTCAGGGGCTGACAGGCAGGTTCTGAATCTCTACACCTTCCCCTGTATCCTCTTCTCCCACCTCCTGTTCTGCAGGGGAGCATTTGGCTGAGCCCTGGCCCGCCTTCATCTCCTGTTGGGCTTGGATCTTAAGGATGAGCTCCTTGATCTCTTCGCGTTTCGTCTTCATTCGTTGCTGCGGGAACCATTCCTCCAGGTTCACCGGGAGATGAAAGCTGGTAAGTGGATTCTGAATGGGGTGCAGAATCATCATTATTTTGGATTCAATCCGAAGCAATGTACTATTTTCAGAGTGGTGCAAGGTAGAAATTAAGCTTCCAAATCAATAGTCTAAAGCCCTGGTTCGGTGCAATTGCTCAATTGATTAACAACTACTGCAGGTAATTCAATGCAATTCAATATACAGTGCATTCAGAAAGTATTCAGACCCCTTCCCTTTTTCTACATTTTGTTATGTTACTGCCTTATTCTAAAATGGATTTAAAAAATATTATCCTGATCAATCTACACACAATACCCCATAATGACAAAGCGAAAAAACGTTTTTAGAAATGTTTGCAAATGCATAAAAAAATAATTAAAGAAGTATTCAGACCCTTTGCTATGAGACTCGAAAATTGAGCTCAGGTGCATCCTGTTTCCATTGATCATCCTTGAGATGTTTCTACAACTTGATTGGAGTCCACCTGTGGTAAATTCAATTGATTGGACATGATTTGGAAAGGCACCCACCTGTCTATATAAGGTCCCACAGTTGACAGTGCATGTCAGAGCAAAAACCAAGCCATGAGGTCGAAGGAATTGTCCGTAGAGCTCCGAGACAGGATTCTGTCGAGGCACGGATCTGGGGAAGGGTCCCAAAATATTTCTGCAGCATTGAAGGTACCCAAGAACACAGTAGCCTCCATCATTCTTAAATGGAAGAAGTTTGGAACCACCAAGACTCTTCCTAGAGTTGGCCGCCTGGCCAAATTCAGCAATCGGGGGAGAAGGGCCTTGGTCAGGCAGGTAACCAAGAACCCTATTGCCACTCTGACAGAGCTCCAGAGTTCCTCTGTGGAGATTGGAGAACCTTCCAGAAGGACAACCATCTCTGCAGCACTCCGCCAATCAGGCCTTTATGTTGGCCTGACGGAAGCCACTCCTCAGTAAAAAAGGCACATGACAGCCCAATTAGAGTTTGCCAAAAGGCACCTAAAGGACTCTCAGACCATGAGAAACAAGATTCTCTGGTCTGATGAAACCAAGATTGAACTCCTTGGCCTGAATGCCAAGCGTCACATCTGGAGGAAACCTGGCACCATCATGCTGTTTGGGATGTTTTTCATCGGCAGGGACTGGGAGACTAGTCAGGATCGAGGGAAAGATGAACAGAGCAAAGTACAGTGAGATCCTTGATGAAAACCTGCTCCAGAACGCTCAGGACCTCAGACTGGGACTTGAACCCGATCGAACATCTCTGGAGAGACCTGAAAATAGCTGTGCAGCGATGCTCCCCATCCAGCCTGACAGAGCTTGAGAGGATCTGCAGAGGAAGAATGGGAGAAACTCCCCAAATACAGGTGTGCCAAGCTTGTAGCATCATACCCAAGAAGACTCAAGGCTGTAATCGCTGCCAAAGGTGCTTCAACAAAGTACTGAGTAAAGGGTCTGAATACTTATTCCAATGTGATATCCTTTGGGTTTGTTTTATACATTTGCAAAAAGACCTGTTTTTGCTTTGTCATTCTGGGGTATTGTGTGTAGATTGGGGAGGGAAAAAAACGATTTCATCCATTTTAGAATAAGGCTGTAACGTAACAATGTGGGAAAAGTCAAGGGGTCTGAATACTTTCCGAATGCACTGTACAACTATTTATCCCAACAGGATCAATGGTAAGGTGAGTCTGCTACAAGTAATTACTTCACTAAATACTGAAAACATTGGCAATTTAAAAAGACAACCTAAACACAGCAACACTGTGCTAATGGCCTACATCCCATTATATGGCTCCAGGTGTCTCAGTTACAGTAGACACTGCACTGGTGTGTGTGTCCACTGGTTGTATCGCTTCAGCTTCTGCTCTCACCTCAAAGAAGCTCTCCACATACTGCAGAATGTAGACTCCACAGTCGCTGAAGTTGTCCTGCTGAGGCACATGTGGGCTAGAACCCTTCATCTGATCCCTCCCAAAACTCCTCCGACTTCCTTTCCTCACCTCCCACTCCACCTCCAGGTACCTGCAGTTACACACACAAACACAAAATATAAATGGCTTGGGAAGGTTTGCTTTTTTGTGCTAATTAGGCGAACTAAATCTACAATATTCAGAACAGTATGAAAGTATTGACTTACTCTCGTAATGTTTTAATTACAGAAGATCTGGCCGGGCCACGTAACGAGTCCATGATGAGAATACAAGGCCTGAGAAAACAAACAAATCACTTAGAAAATGCCTAAAATATTGTAATTCTGAGGTAAATATTCATTGACATTCACCTCAAATTACACTATCCACAAACGTGTCAGGAGAGCAATAGCACCCTCTACTGGCACAAGAATGGTAGAACATCCTCTCCTACTCACTGTTTACAGATGGTGGGTTTTGACGTCCACTCTGAGCTCTCAGGGGGTACCAGGTCTTCTGTAAGTGCACCGTCCTCACTGCACTCATCCTAGACAAAAAAAGAAAGAGCTAAACAAATGTACACATAACATTCATTTCACTTAATCTGCTATGTCACCAAACAGAATATCAAATTCCCCCGTTACCTGACAGGAGCTTTGGTCATCAGAAAAGGTATCTGTGTCATCACCATTGCCACCACCTGATCCGTAACACAAACTGATTCTGTGCAAGCCATCTGCAAACCACGATTCAAAAGCCAGTGAGATCACTGACTCTTCATCCATCAGTTTCCACACAGCTTCTAAGACATCAACGTTTATTTGCCATATGCACAGGATACAGTGTAGTGTACACAGTGCAATGAAATGCTACTTGCAAGTAGTCACAGTGTTTGCGGCTCACCTGTGCACTGTGGCTGGACGTTGACCAGCCCATTCATCCTGGCTCCAGCGGTCTTGGGATGCTCTTGGCCACCATTGGGACAGGTGAACGCCCCCTTTGGCTGCTCGCTGTGGGAGTGTCCTTCCGAGGAGGCCTCTGTGGCACTGAGGGACAGCTTCTCTGAGGGGGCCAAGGGTTCCTCTCTGCCTGGGGGCTCACAGTAGTCTGGCTCTGGGGAGAGTGGCCGGCAGTGGTCAGGGGGCCTGCCCTGGGGGGCTGACTGTGTCTGTGCTAGCCCTGGGGCCTGGTACAAAGGGTTGGGCTCAAACTGAGGGCCCTGCATCCCTGGGAAACAGATCACTGCCAAGTACCAGTGGGCTCTGAAACACAGAGAGAGCAATGGGTTTGGTTGAGAAAGAGAATTAGGTTTACCATCTCTGTCTTACATTGTATCTTATACTGATACAAAATAACAAATATGTTTGCCTTCATCACTGCACTTCAAGTAAATGCTTAAAGGGATACTTCAAGATTTTGGCAATGAAGCCATTTATCTACTTCCCTAGAGTTAGATTAACTCGTGGATACCATTTTTATATCTCTGCGTGCAGTTTGAAGGAAGTTGCTAACACTACAGTGCATTCGGAAAGTATTCAGACCCCTTGACGTTTTCCACATTTTGTGACGTTACAGCATTATTCTAAAATGGATGAAATTGTTCCCCCCCCCTCCTCAATCCACACATAATACCCCATAATGACAAAGCAAAAACAGGTTTTTAGAAATGTTTGCAAATTTATAAAAAATAATAATACAATGAAATATCACATTTACATAAGTATTCAGAACCTTTACTCAGTACTTTGTTTAAGCACCTTTGGCAGCGATTACAGCCTCAAGTCTTCTTGGGTACGACGCTACAAGCTTGGCACACCTGTATTTGGGGAGTTTCTCCCATTTGTCATGACTTGCCCTCATGGGCTGAGGATCAAAGATGCCGGCTGGGGGCCAGTTTTATGACCGGTCGTAAATTCTAGATGAGATGATTGTTTTCCATATTGATTTGTTCTCAGTCAGTGGCCACGCCCAGATGAGCACAAACATGATAGAATGACCCTTTTACCCTGAGTGCATAAAAAGCCTTGAAAAACTAATTAACATTAGACCAGCAGACGTGAAGCGTGAGCTAAACGTTACAAAATGGTTTAAAACTACAACTCCATTACCAAAGGAAGACCAAGCATACTACAGTATAACCGGATGTTGCAAATGGTTGAATTTCTACAAGACCAAGAAGCGTGAAGCTGAAGCTACACGTTACAAAATGGTTAGACCAGAAAGACCAGAAAACGTGAGACGTTAGTACACAAGTTTGAAATGGAGAAACTCTGAAACGCTCAACCTCTACACGAGGTGAAGAAGAAGACATTGCACTAAACCTTATCATCTCAAGTCTGCAGCTGGAATGTATAGTCATCTAGAAAACTTTCACTAAAGACACGAATTGGGAAGGACCATCCCTCTCCGACAACCACTGGTACATCTGAAGTATATATATATAACAGATCAACTCTACGAACTACAGGGTACGCTGAAGTATCCATTCTAACCACCACTACGACCAGAAACCCTACCAAGGACATTGGGATCTCTAGTGGGCAAACCAGAGTCCTACATCATCAACTCAACTATCGAGGACTGCTACATGTTGCATTTCTAATCCGAATGAGCATTTAGTGGGGTTTCAAGCATTTGTATTTAGATAAATAACAGTCAATACATTAAAGTAAGTCACGACACGACACATTCTTCTCTGCAGATCCTCTCAAGCTCTGTCAGGTTGATTGGGGAGCGTCGCTGCACAGCAAGTTTCACGTTTCTCCAGAGATGTTTGATTGGGTTCAAGTTCGGGCTCTGGCTGGGCCACTCAAGGACATTCAGAGACTTGGCCCGAAGCCACTCCTGCGTTGTCTTGGCTTTGTGCTTAGGGTCGTTGTCCTGTTGGAAGGTGAACCTTCACCCCAGTCGGAGGTCCTGAGCGCTCTGGAGCAGGTTTTCATCAAGGATCGCTCTGTACTTTGCTCCGTTCATCTTTCCCTCGATCCTGACTAGTCTCCCAGTCCCTGCCGCTGAAAAACACCCCCACAGCATGATGCTGCCACCACCATGCTTCAACGTAGGAATGGTGCCAGGTTTCCTCCTGACGTGATGCTTGGCATTCAGGCCAAAGATGGTTCAATCTTGGTTTCATTAGACCAGAGAATCTTGTTCCTCATGATCTGAGAGTCTTTAGGTGCCTTTTGGCAAACTCCAAGCGGGCTGTCATGTGCCTTTTACTGAGGAGTGGCTTCCGCCTGGCCACTCTACCATGAAGGCCTGATTGGTGGTGCTGCAGAGATGGTTGTCCTTCTGGAAGGTTCTCCAATCTCCACAGAGGAACTCTGTCAGAGTGACCATCGGGTTCTTGGTCACCTCCCTGACCAAGGCCCTTCTCCCCCGATTGCTCCGTTTGGCTGGGCGACCAGCTCTAGGAAGAGTCTTGGTGGTCCAAAACTTCTTCCATTTAAGAATGACGGAGGCCACTGTGTTCTTGGGGACCTTCAATGCTGCAGAAATGTTTTGGTACCCTTCCCCAGATCTGTGCCTCGACACAATCCTGTTTCGGAGCTCTACGGACAATTCCTTCAACCTCATGGCTTGGTTTTGCTCTGACATGCACTGTCAACTGTGGGACCTTATATAGAAAGGTGTGTACCTTTCCAAATCATGTCCAATCAATTGAATTTACCACAGGTGGACTCCAATGAAGTTGTAGAAACATCTCAAGGATGATCAATGGAAACAGGATGCACCTAAGCTCAATTTCAAGTCTCATCGCAAATGGTCTGAATACTTATGTAAATAAGGTATCCGTTTTTTTATTTTTAATACATTTGCAAACATTTCTAAAAACCAGTGTTTCGCTTTGTCATTATAGAATATTGTGTGTAGATCAGGATTATTATCCATTTTTATCCATTTTAGAATAAGGCTGTAACATAACAAAATGTAGAAAAAGGGAAGGGGTCTAAATACTTTCCGAATTGTATTGAATTACCTGCAGTGGTTTCTAAAAACCTGTTTTCGCTTTGTCATTATGGGGTATTGTGTGTAGATTGATAAAAATATATATTTAATCAATTTTTGAATAAGGCTGTAACGTAACAAAATGTGGAAAAAGTCAAGGGGTCTGAATACTTTCCGAATGCACTGTAGTTAGCATTGGCTCATGAAACTACCTCCAACTTCCTTCATACTGGATGCAGAGACATAAAAGTGGTATCCACGACTCCATTGCCAAAATCCCGAAGTATCCCTTTGAGACTTGAATGAAATTCCATGTGGATAGATTGTGCATCCCAAATGCCACCATATACCCTAAATAGTGAACTTATTTTAACCAGAGCCCTATAAAGTGCACTACTTTTGTAAAGTAGTGCACTATATAAAAATGTGTGCACTATATAGGGAATAGGGTGCCATTTAGGACGCAAACAGGGATATTTAGAGAGACAGTAACTTACGACTCATTGATGGGAACAAAGACAAAGTCCTTTTGGAACAGGTCTACATGTCTGGTCCATGTCTTCACCCTGTTGTGCTTCCTCTTCTGCATCCTGACAACCAGCAAAGAAGAAACATGTTGTTGGTATTTACTGTCTTAACTGAATTCTTTGTGAAATGTGTTGCCCCTCATATCACTGGGCAGAGAAGAGGAGACTCACGGTAGGTTAGTCGTGTCTGGGACGTTTCTCCTCTCTTTCTGGTTGAGTCTCTTGTAAAAGAAAGAGCTAAACACGTGACTCCTTTGTGAGTCTTCTTTTTTCAACTTCTCCAAAACTAAATATCTAAGTAAAGGGAAGATACACACATAGGTTGGTCAATTTCCCTTATATGTAACAAAAGCAAGCACTGTTTCTATAGAATATCAAACCAAGAATGTGACTTTAAAGACAACAGAAAATATACAATGGAAAATAGACAATGGAAAGCAAATTCCACCAACTTTAAATAAAAGTCTATGATGACGTCGTTTAGGAATTCTCCATCGTTAAGGCAGTGGAGGTCTTCATTAGTCACCGATATGCCCCCCTTGGCCGGAGGAGGTGGGTACACCATCAACCTACAACACAACCATCCAATGATTAAACCATCAGGAACAAACACAGAATTGTACTTAAGATGAAAGGGTTCTATTCATTAGGGTACAACGAAGCAAAATGGTTTGCATCAGAAAACGAAAACAAGTGTTGCAGATAGTCTCTCCCTGTTTCAGTCAATTTTCTTCTGATTGGTGCCTACTGAACATGACCCAGGAGTAGGAGATAGATAACCCTCGTACTTTACGATTGGTCCAGTGAAGGTGGGTTGGAGCTCAGCCATGTCATCGTCGTCATCATCAAAGAACGTGCTGGTCTGCTGTCGTGTGGCCATGCGCGTTCGCACCATTGGAGCCGGTGTGTTGGTTTTAGTGCTGTTGTTTTTGTTGTTTACCTACAAGAAAGGGATGCAACCAAAATATCTTGGTCAAGAGATTGTTCAAAATAAACTATTTGTTGAAAATCAGATGTCTATGAAAAGCAACACCGGCAACATATATTTTGGTAGCTAGTCTCAAAAGGCTCTAAGATGCTAATCTTCAGGACCTGGGACACAAAGCACTATTCCGTCACATACTGTGAGGTTTGATAAATTCCAGCAACTTTTCCAAAATTCCCAAGCTCTCCAGAAATCCTGGTTGGAAGATTCCCGGAAACAGGAGGGAATAAGCAGGCCCACCTTTTCTTTTGTTGCTTTGTTGTAGTTGACCAATCTGATGTTAGCTTCATCAAACGACAGTTTGGTGGGGAACTCATTGAGGTTGTTGGCTCGGCCGATCTCCTGTAGGATCTCCTCTAGAATCATCTGCTGGTGCATTGACAGCCCGTTCTCAAAGATCAGCACAATGTACTTCTCATCGGAGTCTGAGGACAGAAGGGAAACTTCTTGACATTTTGTTGACCGTGAGATAACAGACTTGCTTTATTTAGCAAAAAATGACATGTCATAGAAAGGCTCCTCCAAACAAAGGCTTGTGTTCATCCATCTATGTACAGACTACTGCTGTTGCACCTGGCATGGGTTCTTCAGTTTGATTGACATCTGTATGTAGTGTCTGCAGTCCTCACCGTTGCCAGCACAGTCGTACCAGCACAGGCCTCTCTTGTCTCGGGTCATCTTGAGCTGGGTGCGGAGCCGCAGACATTCCTCGGGGCTGGTCTGGAAGAAGAGAACGGGCAGCTTCTTCACGCTGCACCACTCACAGCTGATCAGCTCCGACGCGCGCAGACGCACCTTCTCCAGAGCATCCACCTCAGGACCTGGGACACAAAGCACTATTACGTCACATACTGTTAGGTTTGATCAATTCCAGCAACTTTTCCAAAATTCCCAAGCTCTCCAGAAATCCTGGTTGGAAAATTCCCGTAAACAGGTGGGAATAAGCAGGAAATCCAGAATCCTCCAGCCACGATTTCTAGAAAACCTGGGAATTTTAGGAAATGTTTTGTAATTTTCCAACCCTACATACTGTACAACACTGTCTAATCTATCTACAATATGTTGTCCTTTGAGAGCAGAGGAAAACATTTATAGGACATCTGACATTCTTGTTGTCTCCTACCTTCAGTTTCAAGTTGAATGTGATCGACCGTAAACTGAAAGACAAAAAGATGGTTGAATGATGACAGTATGCTAGAGTGTCAGGGAATAAAAATAAAATAATAATATATATATTTTTTAAATAGCAGTATTCATTTTGTTATTTTTGAGAAAAAGAACAGCATTATTCATGGGAAATTCATAGAATTGCAGGAAATTAGCTTTAAAACTGTACAATTCTCTCTCAGCTCGATATATGTAGAATCACAGGAAATGAGCTTTTAAACTAGAACATAGAACATTTTCTCTCAGCTCCATGGAGAATTGTGTAGAATTGCAGGATGGGGGCCTCTTAAAATGTTCTATAAAAATGTAGCTACACCAACGTCCAACCGCGCTCATTGCCACACCTCCTACCAAGCCCACCACCTAAGCCCCTTTTTGATCCAGAAAAAACCCTGATAGGCTATTGTTTTTGGCAAGATTTTCGGTAAGTATGAGTGTCTGTATGGAGAGAGCACAGGAGCAGAGTACTTACATTGACAGGCTTGGTCACCATCCTGCGAAGAGTCCCTACTCTCACACTCCGACAGTCCAGGATGATGCTGTCCAACTTGTCGGGAGAGATCCTCTGTTTTTTCCTGGGTGTAGAGTCGTCCGGCATTTGGTTTCCAAACTGAAAAAAACACACATTGTCAGCCTTGAAACCTGTTGCTTCATATCATTAATTCCTCTGAGGAACAAGTCATGTACAGTAGATGTCTGGCCAACACCCCCAGATTCTTCATCAACTGGGCATTTGGATTCAACTGCCCAATTAGTTTGCAAGCTAAATATCGGGAGCACTATGTTTTCTCAAAGGTAAACTTTACGACCCTGATCACACAAAAAGTAAATGAGGAGACTTAAATCATTAGTCACAACAGCTGCCAACAGAGCCCATCATGGTGAATACAAAAACACCCAGTGATGTCATTTTCTGCCAAGCAAAACAACCCACAAGGTTACCTTGAGAGAGCGGATCAGGAACATTATGTTCAAGGACATTTTGACAGACAGACTCAATAAAGTCAGACTGAAATGTGCCAAAACAGCTCACTACAAGACTGGCTCACTATAGACAGGTCCGTTTACATAATGTAGCCTAGAATTGAGGAAAACTGATGAAAAAGCTTTGAGGGATCAACAACATTTAATTACGAGTCTACACAAGTACCACCCTATACACAGAGGCTGTTGTAGAGGATAATGTGGGCCGCCTGCAACACCACCCCAGCATGGATAGGAATCCCGGCCGAGACTACTCACTTCATGCTATCCCTGTCTAAATAAAATGAAAAATACTTACAAATATATGTTTAAAAGACGACATACCTTATCTTTCATGCGGTTCCTTCTGGGTAGTGAAATTCTGCTGTCGACGTCGGCGAAGAAGTCAGAAGTGATCTCCTCCTGCTCCCCTCCTGCGCTACTCTTCACTGCTGCCTCCACTCTGCCTCCGGAGGGCGCCGGTGAGGAGTGGGCCGAGTCAGCGGGCCGAGGGGACACGCTGTCCAGCCTATTTACGCTGCCCGTGCTGGTGTTGTCCACCTCATCCTCGTCACTGGACAGCACGACTGGAACAGAAACATTACAGCAATCATTTCCTGACGTGTCACAGCTGAATAAATTATTTCAACAAGATGGGATTTACATCCTGAAATGTGGCCTTCGTTTGCTAACAGTTCTGACAGCGAGAGCTAAGATGTACAGACAGGTGCTAGTGGTTTTGAGCTGTGTGGTTGGTTACCAAGAACATCCTGTGCAGTTGGTTGAAATGAACCATTTCTGTAGTGTACTACCTCTCACAGAGACATTACACATGTCCTGCAGTGCAAACGCCTGCCTGCAGTAAACCCTGAGACTAACCAGCACAGAGGCAGGTGAAGAGTGAGTACTGAGCAGGCCAGGTGTGTATCCCACATGACACCCTATTCCCTACATAGTGCACTACTTTTGACCAGAGCACTAAAGGGAATAGGGTGCAATTTGGGATGCATACCTGGACAGTGGACTTACTGGGGTCGTTGAGCTCGTGCTGCTTGGCGGCCGCCGTCCTCCTGCCTTTGTTACCGGCGACTTTCCCGGCGCAGCAGCTCCCCACCAGCCCCGCCCCCGCGGGTCTCCCGTTGTGTGGCAGCGGCAGGCCGGCCCGGGTGGTGATGCGTACCGGGATGGGCGGGTTCATCACTGTGTCCACACGCAGCGCCGGCGCCCTCATGGTCGAGGACGAAACGTAGGAGTTGTTCTTGGTCAGCTGTCGACTGTTTGGTCCTGGGGAGGGGTGTTGATGGGAGTGCTGAGGATGAGGTCGAATGGGGGGTCTGGGCATGGGGGACGTAGGCTGGGCTGCTGGGGGGTGGTGGAGGTGGGGAACCTCCGGCATGAAGGGGTTCCCACAGTGTTCACACGTGCTGTGGTTTTCACTGGATTTGCTACACTTCCCGCACACTGTGTGGTACCTTTTTGGATTTAGGGGCTGCAGACAAAGTGGAGATAATTACATTTCAGCAGCAAGTAGGCTACATTTCCATTATTTGTATTTTCTTCTGACATTCGTCAACATCATTGCTAAATCGTTCAGGGGTATCGTCTTAAAGCCGAATAGCTCTTTTTGGTTTAAATTGTAAAAAATATGCTTCTTTCTATTCAGTTATTCATAGGATCTCTAGCTCTAGCCACAACACTAAAGTATGCTTATTTCTATTCAGTTATTCATAGGATCTCTAGCCACAACACTAACAGGTATGGAAGGAACAGGAAGGAACAGGCTGGATGGTTTGCTAGTGGACTAGCGAGATCAGAGCCCAGAGAGAGAGAGGCCCAGAGGGGAGATCAGAGGCCAGAGAGAGAGACCCAGAGGGGAGATCAGAGACCAGAGAGAGAGAGGCCCAGAGGGGAGATCAGAGGCCAGAGAGAGAGACCCAGAGGGGAGATCAGAGACCAGAGAGAGAGAGGCCCAGAGGGGAGATCAGAGGCCAGAGAGAGAGACCCAGAGGGGAGATCAGAGACCAGAGAGAGAGAGGCCCAGAGGGGAGATCAGAGGCCAGAGAGAGAGACCCAGAGGGGAGATCAGAGGCCAGAGAGAGAGAGGCCCAGAGGGGAGATCAGAGGCCAGAGAGAGAGACCCAGAGGGGAGATCAGAGACCAGAGAGAGAGACCCAGAGGGGAGATCAGAGACCAGAGAGAGAGACCCAGAGGGGAGATCAGAGACCAGAGAGAGAGACCCAGAGAGAGAGAGAGAGGCCCAGAGGGGAGATCAGAGACCAGAGAGAGAGACCCAGAGGGGAGATCAGAGACCAGAGAGAGAGAGGCCCAGAGGGGAGATCAGAGGCCAGAGAGAGAGAGAGAGGCCCAGAGGGGAGTAGCAGTAACTACAGTCCAGCAGGGTTACAGTCCTCTCATAGAAAAGGCTCCATCATGGTAAACACTAACCAGTAGATGATCCTAGAGCCATAGACTCGCCCAGCCAGCACAGGTCCTTTTTCACCTTCAGGGCCTGGCATATCCATAAAGCATCTCAGAGTAGGAGTGCTGACCTAGGATCAGGTCCCCCCTGTCCATATAAACATATCCATTATGGTGTAAAAGGCAAAACATTTCCTAGATCAGCACTCCTACAACGATATGTTTTATGAATACGGACCCAGATGACGACGTGAGTGCATACTGCTCTTACCTCCTCTGTCTGAACCTGCGAGGGAAAGCTACAACAGCCCTCCAGCGAGGGTCTCCGACTGTGCTGCTGGGCACGCCGTTTGATGCTCACGTTGTCATTGGCTTAAAAGAGAATAAAAGAGAACATGGAAAGGAAACATTCAGCTGTCATGTACAGTATGCATTAACGACTGATTGTGTTGAGAATCAGCCTCATCTTCAACACAAACCAAAAAATATCATATAGTGGAGAAAGTTAGCCGTGGGGAAGTTTCACACAGCTGCAGTGTTCCAGTGTTTCAAGGTCACCTCGCTGCACCACGTGATCATCATCATTCCTGTGCCGGAGTCAGTTGGCTGGGCCACAGTGTGCTTTATTAGCCGGACTGCCTGTGTGTGCTTCTGTCCTCTCCATGCTCATCTGTGGCAGCCAGACTCACTCGCTCTCACGCCTTCCTCTCAGAGGAGCTTTGCGGGCGGATTAATCTGCAAGGCCTGATGCAATCCCCCTTAGGCAGACAGGCAGGAGGCTCAGCCCAGATCTACTGCCCTCCAGGCACCACAGACTGACTCCGCCAAGGATTTCGCTGCTAGAGACAAACTGCACAGCCACACACCGTCCACTATTCCCTCTACCACCTAGTACCAAGTCCCACATTACATCAGGATACTAGCATTTAACCACCTTAGTACAGTACACTGTGTCTACATAGGAAACCATGCTTTGAGACTACCTCAGATTGAGACTGCACACACCGTCCTCTATTCCCCACCACCACTTACCGTCCCACATCACATCCTGAAAGCAGCATTTACCCACACCATCTTGGTAGTACACTGCCTCCACATATAAAATGATGCTATAATATATATCAGTATCTACAAGTGCAGTGAACGTAAGGGCAGTGCGTGCCTCGTCTTACCTGGGCTCTCTGGACAGGTGAGAATGATACTCTCCACTTCTACTGTTTGGATCGGCTGTTGAGTGGTGCAGTGGTCTCTTCTGATGGAACAATGGCACAGTCTGGTCAGAAGTCATTCAAAACAAAGCCTTTTTTGTTTGTTTTTATTGTCAACAACCATAATGAGGTAAACAAATCAAATAAATAAGTCATCATTGGAGATAAACAAATTATGCAGTTGGAGGGGGAAATGCTGGTGAAGCTATTTCACAATCTGATAATGAAACAGCACGTGGGGTATCCATGCAGTGTTGCCCTACAGAACCAGGCCAAAGGTTGATGGATGCAGGTTGAGCAGGGTATTAAGGGAGCTAATTAGTATAGAACACAAGCACCACTGCTTTGACTAAAGCATGAGATGGAATGAAATGCTAAGTTGGAACAGGACAAAGTTCAGATCACTACAATGTATTGCAGCACAAAGCATGGCTAAGCATATACTGTATACTGTGTGCAATGTCTTAACTTTCCTTTAGGTCGAGGTTGCTTTAAAAAGGAAAATGGAGAGAGCGCAAGTCTAGTCTTACTGTTACGAAACCAATAACCAACCTACTGATTTTGCTGCACCCGTTATTTCTAGGGGTCTTAGGCCTAGTTACCTGGTCTGTAACCTGGTTGGTGCTGCCACCTGGGGGAGGGTGTGTAGAAATGTATCCTGGTAGAGTGTATTGCCTAAAGCCGGGTGTACACTACACGACTTTCAAAATCCTAACATCTCTGACCCTCTCACGTTAAACAACGTCTTTCCTGTTTTTTTTTTTGTCTTGCCAACGTAGTGGTGCGCACACTAAACGATGTGGCCAGACGAGGGTCAAACACTACATACAGTTGAAGTTGGAAGTTTACATACACTTAGGTTGGAGTCATTAAAACTTGTTTTTCAAGCACTCCACACATTTCTTGTTAACAAACTATCGTTTTGGCAAGTCGGTTAGGACATCTACTTTGTGCATGACACAAGTAATTTTTCCAACAATTGTTTACAGATTATTTCACTTATAATTCACTGTATCACAATTCCAGTGGGTCAGAAGTTTACATACACTAAGTTCACTGTGCCTTTAAACAGCTTGGAAAATTCCAGAAAATTATGTCATGGCTTTAGAAGCTTCTGATAGGCTAATTGACATAATTTGAGTCAACTGGAGGTGTACCTGTGGATGTATTTCAAGGCCTACCTTCAAACTCAGTGCCTCTTTGCTTGACATCATGGGAAAATCAAAAGAAATCAGCCAAGACCTCAGAAAAAAAGTTGTAGACCTCCACAAGTCTGGTTCATCCTTGGGAGCAATTTCCAAATGCCTGAAGGTTCATCTGTACAAACAATAGTACGCAAGTATAAACACCATGGGACCATGCAGCCGTCATACCGCTCAGGAAGGAGATGCGTTCTGTCTCCTAGAGATTAACGTAATTTGGTGCGAAAAGTGCAAATCAATCTCAGAACAACAGCAAAGGACCTTGTCAAGATGCTGGAGGAAACAGATACAAAAGTATCTATATCCACAGTAAAACGAGTCCTATATCGACATAACCTGAAAGGCCGCTCAGCAAGAAAAAAGCTGCTGCTCCAAAACCGCCATAAAAAAGCCAGACTACGGTTTGCAACTGCACATGGGGACAAAGATCGTACTTTTTGGAGAAATGTCCTGTGGTCTGATTAAACAAAAATAGAACTGTTTGGCCATAATGACCATCATTATGTTTGGAGGAAAAAGGGGGACGCTTGCAAGCCGAAGAACACCATCCCAACCGTGAAGCACGGGGGTGGCAGCATCATGCTGTGGGGGTGCTTTGCTGCAGGAGGGACTGGTGCACTTCACAAAATAGATGGCATCATGAGGAAGGAAAATTATGTGGATATATTGTAGCAACATCTCAAGACATCAGTCAGGAAGTTAAAGCTTGGTCGCAAATGGGTCTTCCAAATGGACAATAAAGTGGTGATCCTAACTGCCCTATGAAAGGGAATTTTTACTAGGATTAAATGGCAGGAATTGTGAAAAACTGAGTTTTAATGTATTTCGCTAAGGTGTATGTAAACTTCCGACTTCAACTGTAGTACCCTCCAAGCTCATCATTAAGCTTGGGGCCCTGGATCTGAACGCCGCCCCGTGCAACTGGGTCCTGGACTTCTTGACGGGCCGCCCCCAAGTGGTGAAGGTAGGCAACAACATCTCCACTACGCTGATCCTCAACACAGGGGCCCCACAAGGGTGCATGCTCAGCCCCCTCCAATACACCCATGACTGCGTGGCCAGGCACGTTTCCAATTCAATCATCAAGTTTGCGGACGACACAACAGTAGTAGGCCTGATTACCAACAATGTCAAGACAGCCTACAGGGATGAGGTGAGGGCCCTGGCGGAGTGGTGCCAGGAAAATAACCTCTCCCTCAATTTAAACAAACCCAAAGGGGCTGATCGTGGACTTCAGGAGACAGCAGAGGTTGGTTGAAGAAATTTGGCTACAACAGCGATACGCCATCCCATCTGTGTGCGCTTAGTGGGACTATAATTTGTTTTTCAACAGGACAATGACCCAACACACCTCCAGGCTGTGTAAGGGCTATTTGACCAAGAAGGAGAGCTGCATCAGATGACCTGGCCTCCAAAATCACCTGACCTCAACCCAATTGAGATGGTTTGGGATGAGTTGGACCGCAGAGTGAAGGAAAAGCAGCCAACAAGTGCTCAGCATATGTGGGAACTACTTCAAGTTGTTGGAAAAGCATTCCAAGAGTGTGCAAAGCTGTCATCAATGCAAAGGGTGGCTACTTTGAAGAATCTCAAATATATTTTGATTTGTTTAACACTTTTTTGGTTACTACATGATTCCATATGTGTTATTTCATAGTTTTGATGTCTTCACTATTATTCTACAATGTAGAAAATAGTAAAAAATAAAGAAAAACCCTTGAATGAGTAGGTGTGTCCAAACTTTTGACTGGTACTGTAAGTATTCAGACACTTTACTCAGTACTCTGTTGAAGCAGCTTTGGCAGCGATCATCATCTTCTTGGGTATGATGCTACAAGCTTGGCACACTTGTATTTGGAGAGTTTCTCCCATTCTTCTCTGCAGATCCTATCAAGCTCTGTCAGGTTGGATGGGGAGCGTCGCTGCATAGTTATTTTCAGGTTTCTCCAGAGATGTTCAATCGGGTTCAAGTCCAGGCTCTGGCTCGGCCACTCAAGGACATTCAGAGACTTGTCCCGAAGCCACTCCTGCGTTGTCTTGGCTGTGTGCTTAGGGTCGTTGTCATGTTGGAAGGTGAACTGAGCACTCTGGAGCAGGTTTTCATCAAGGATCTCTCTGTACTTTGCTCCCTTCATCTTTCCCCTCGATCCTGACTAGTCTCCCAGTCCCTGCTGCTGAAAAACATCCCCACAGCATGATGATGCCACCACCATGCTTCAACGTAGGGATGGTGCCAGGTTTCCTCCAGACATGACACTTGGCATTCAGGCCAAAGAGTTGAATCTTAGTTTAATCAGACCAGTGAATCTTGTGTCTCATGGTCAGAGTCCTTTAGATGCCTTTCTGCAAATTCCAAGCGGCCTCTCATGTGCTTTTTACTGAAGAGTGGCTTCCGTCTGGCCACTACCATAAAGGCCTGAATGGTGGAGTGCTGCAGAGATGGTTGTCCTTCTGGAAGGTTCTCCCATCTCCACAGAGGAACTCTGGAGCTCTGTCAGAGTGACCATCGGGTTCTTGGTCACCTCCCTGACCAAAGCCCTTCTCCCCCGATTATTCAGTTTGGCCTGGCGGCCAGCTCTGTGTTCTTGGGGACCTTCAATGCTGCAGAAATGTTTTGGTACCCTTCCCCAGAGCTGTGCCTCGACACAATCCTGTCTCGGAGCTCTACGGACAATTCCTTCGACCTCATGGCTTGGTTTTTGCTCTGACATGCACTGTCAACTGTGGGACCTTATATAGACAGGTGGGTGCCCTTCCAAATCATGTCCAATCAAGTGAATTTACCACAGGTGGACTCCAATCAAGTTGTAGAAACATCTCAATAATGATAAATGGAAACAGGATGCACCTGAGCTCAATTTCGAGTCTCATAGCAAAGGGTCTGAATACTTATGTAAATCTGTTTTTTATTTTTAATACATTTGCAAACATTTCTAAAAACCTGTTTTCGCTTTGTCATTATGGGGTATTGTGTGTAGATTGATGAGGATTTTAAAAAATTATTTTAATCCATTTTAGAATAAGGCTGTAACGTAACAAAATGAGGAAAAAGGGGTCTGAACACTTTCCGAATGCACTGTACAGTTGTGGTCAAAAGTTTTGAGAATGACAAGTATTGGTCTTCACAAAGTTCGCTGCTTCAGTGTTATGAGATATTTTTGTCAGATGTTACTACGGTATACTGAAGTATAATTACAAGCATTCCATAAGTGTCAAAGGCTTTTATTGACAATTACATTTAGTTTATGCAAAGAGTCAATTTTTGCAGTGTTGACCCTTCTTTTTCAAGACTTCTGCAATCAGCACTGGCATGCTGTCAATTAACTTCTGGGCCACATCCTGACTGATGGCAGCCCATTCTTGCATAATCAATGCTTGGAGTTTGTCAGTATATGTGGGTTTTTGTTTATCCACCCGCCTCTTGAGGATCGACCACAAGTTCTCAATGGGATTAAGGTCTGGGGAGTTTCCTGGCCATGGTCCCAAAAATTCGATGTTTTGTTCCCCAGAGCCACTTAGTTATCACTTTTGCCTTATGACAAGGTGCTCCATCATGCTGGAAAAGGCATTGGTCGTCACCAAACTGTTCTTGGATGGTTGGGAGAAGTTGCTCTCGGAGGATGTGTTGGTACCATTCTTTATTCATGGCTGTGTTCTTAGGCAAAAATGTGAGTGAGCCCACTCCCTTGGCTGAGAAGCAACCCCACACATGAATGGTCTCAGAATGCTTTACTGTTGGCATGACACAGGACTGATGGTAGCACTCACCTTGTCTTCTCCGGACAAGGTGTTTTCCGGATGCCCCAAACAATCGGAAAGGGGATTCATCAGAGAAAATGACTTTACCCCAGTCCTCAGCAGTCCAATCCCTGTACCTTTTGCAGAATATCAGTCTGTCCCTGATGTTTTTCCTGGAGAGAAGTGGCTTCTTTGCTGCCTTTCTTGACACCAGGCCATCCTCCAAAAGTCTTCGCCTCACTGTGTGTGCAGATGCACTCACACCTGCCTGCTGCCATTCCTGAGAAAGCTCTGCACTGGTGGTGCCCTGATCCCGCAGCTGAATCAACTTTAGGAGACGGTCCTGGCGCTTGCTGGACTTTCTTGGGCGCCCTGACACCTTCTTCACAACAATTGAACCTGTCTCCTTGAAGTTCTTGATGATCTGATAAATGGTTGATTTAGGTTTATCCTTGCCTGTGAAGCCCTTTTTGTGCAATGCAATGATGACGGCTCGTGTTTCCTTGCAGGTAACCATGGTTAACAGAGGAAGAACAATGATTTCAAGCACCACCCTCCTTTTAAAGCTTCCAGTCTGTTATTCTAACTCAATCAGCATGACAGAGTGATCTCCAGCCTTGTCCTTGTCAACACTCTCACCTGTGTTAATGAGAGAATCACTGACATGATGGCAGCTGGTCCTTTTGTGGCAGGGCTGAAATGCAGTGGAAATGTTTTATTTATTTTTTCATGGCAAAGACGGACTTTGCAATTAATTGCAATTCATCTGATCACTCTTCATGACATTCTGGAATATATGCAAATTGCCATCATCAAAACTGAGGCAGCAGACTTTGTGAAAATTTGTATTTGTGTCATTCTCAAAACTTTTGACCACGACTATACATACACTCCGGACTCTGACATTGCTCGTCCTAATATTTCTAAATTCCACTCTTTTACTTTTTAGATTTGTGTGTATTGTTGTGTATTGTTAGATATTACTGCACTGTTGGAGCTAGGAACACAAGCATTTCACTACACCCGCAATAACATCTGCTATATATGTGTATGCAACCAATAACATGTTATTTTATTTGACAAGATTCTTCACTTGGTCGTGAGGATTCTCCATACCATGCTGTTTTGTGAAAACAATGTGATTAGATTTAACGTAGCTACAATGAGCTGTGGCTCAAAGCAGCCTCAAACGTTTTCAGTCAGACATTCACGCTTGCCCTACAGAGTTGAAATGTTCTAGCCAACATTTTGAATTTAATAACATTGCTTGAGCACTTCAGAGCTGTAACGATTTGACACTTTGGCTTTGGTTAAAGGCAAGTACAAACGCATACTAATAGTGGTCATCGCTCCATCTCGAGTCTACACATTCTTGGTGATGGGAAACAACGTCTCACTGGCTTCTTCTCTGGCCAGCTCTCATTGGCTATTGCTGATCACTGTTCTCAAAACTTGTCGTTGCACATCTCACACTACAAAAGCATTGCAGATTTTGTGCCGATAAAATCAAACGTCTGAAAATATCGGGACGTCTGGGACTGCTCAAAGACGAGATCAGTAGTCCTCAAACTGTGTCTCTGACCCACTCACATTAAACGAGCGTCGGTGACGGCCGCGCCCGGAGTGGACAACAACATGGGGATTTTGTCTCTGATCTTAAAAAATTGTCTGGGACAGGTAAATCGGGGCCAAAATTAAAGAAGTAGTTCAGGAGAAAAAACGAACAAAATATAATTATTGTAAAATTGACTGTGTCCATAAAATGTATATACTAAGTATAAGCTGGAAGTAGAGGCCTAAGCATTGTTGTTCACTAGTTTACTCCAATTAGGGAAAGGGTGGTGGGGTTGGAAAGTAATAAAGGGGAATATATATTTTTTTAAAGGATGTGTGTGTGTGTGTATGTACAGTGGGGAGAACAAGTATTTGATACACTGCCGATTTTGCAGGTTTTCCTACTTACAAAGCATGTAGAGGTCTGTAATTTTTATCATAGGTACACTTCAACTGTGGGAGACGAAATCTAAAACAAAAATCCAGAAAATCACATTGTATGATTTTTAAGTAATTAATTTGCATTTTATTGCATGACATAAGTATTTGATACATCAGAGAAGCAGAGCTTAATATTTGGTACAGAAACCTTTGTTTGCAATTATAGAGATCATACGTTTCCTGTAGGTCTTGACCAGGTTTGCACACACTGCAGCAGGGATTTTGGCCCACTCCTCCATACAGACCTTCTCCAGATCCTTCAGGTTTCGGGGCTGTCGCTGGGCAATACGGACTTTCAGCTCCCTCCAAAGATTTTCTATTGGGTTCAGGTCTGGAGACTGGCTAGGCCACTCCAGGACCTTGAGATGCTTCTTACGGAGCCACTCCTTAGTTGCCCTGGCTGTGTGTTTCGGGTCGTTGTCATGCTGGAAGAGCCAGCCACGACCCATCTTCAATGCTCTTACTGAGGGAAGGAGGTTGTTGGCCAAGATCTCGCGATACATGGCCCCATCCATCCTCCCCTCAATACGGTGCAGTTGTCCTGTCCCCTTTGCAGAAAAGCATCCCCAAAGAATGATGTTTCCACCTCCATGCTTCACGGTTGGGATGGTGTTCTTGGGGTTGTACTCATCCTTCTTCTTCCTCCAAACACGGCGAGTGGAGTTTAGACCAAAAAGCTCTATTTTTGTCTCATCAGACCACATGACCTTCTCCCATTCCTCCTCTGGATCATCCAGATGGTCATTGGCAAACTTCAGACGGGCCTGGACATGCGCTGGCTTGAGCAGGGGGACCTTGCGTGCGCTGCAGGATTTTAATCCATGGCGTAGTGTGTTACTAATGGTTTTCTTTGAGACTGTGGTCCCAGCTCTCTTCAGGTCATTGACCAGGTCCTGCCATGTAGTTCTGGGCTGATCCCTCACCTTCCTCATGATCATTGATGCCCCACGAGGTGAGATCTTGCATGGAGCCCCAGACCGAGGATGATTGACCATCATCTTGAACTTCTTCCATTTTCTAATAATTGCGCCAACAGTTGTTGCCTTCTCACCAAGCTGCTTGCCTATTGTCCTGTAGCCCATCCCAGCCTTGTGCAGTTCTACAATTTTATCCCTGATGTCATTACACAGCTCTCTGGTCTTGGCCATTGTGGAGAGGTTGGTGTCTGTTTGATTGAGTGTGTGGACAGGTGTCTTTTATACAGGTAACGAGTTCAAACAGGTGCAGTTAATACAGGTAATGAGTGGAGAACATGAGGGCTTCTTAAAGAAAAACTAACAGGTCTGTGAGAGCCCGGAATTCTTACTGGTTGGTAGGTGATCAAATACTTATGTCATGCAATAAATTGCAAATTAATTACTTAAAAATCATACAATGTGATTTTCTGGATTTTTGTTTTAGATTCCGTCTCTCACAGTTGAAGTGTACCTATGATAAAAATTACAGACCTCTACATGCTTTGTAAGTAGGAAAACCTGCAAAATCGGCAGTGTATCAAATACTTGTTCTCCCCACTGTGTGTGTGTGTGTGTGTGTATGTATATATGTATATATATAAAAACATGGGGGATTGGAAGTGATGCAGACAATTACATTGATGGAAGTTACAATCTATCTGCAATATTAAGCTGATCTACCCCCTAAGAAAAATAAAATAAAAAATAATTTTAAAAAAACTGCGTCTCTGACCCACTCACATTAAACGATCGTCGGTGACGGCCGCGCCCGGAGTGGACAACAACATGGGGATTTTGTCTCTGATCTTAAAAACTTGTCGTCTGGTACAGGTAAATCGGGGCCAAAATTGTGTAGTGTACACCCGGCTTAACTGTGTGCTAACACTAAACTACCTACTACATTACTTTACCAATACAATCAAGTCTAACGCAATAATAGTTTATCACAATGATTAAATGGGTTGCACTTCCTACTTGATGTCAATTCGCCAAACTTAATTTATCAAATCGCCTAAATAAAGTGAGTAACATGTCTCTTCGATCGACAACCAACTACTTTGAGAAAGAAAGCATTTTGTCAAATGAAACCATTCTGTAGCTCTCAATGCTATGTTATGCAGTACGATTACAGTGTGACTTCAGTGAGGACTCGTACCTTTGGACAGGTTTCCTCATTGCAGCAGGAACATTGTGGGTGTGCTGAAATGGTCTCCCCTGTAGAACAACTCCTTGAGACTGTGTTGGGCTGACTATTAAATAGTCAGTTCTGTTAGGCATCCGTGACATCGATGCTACGGTGTTTGGGATTTCACTGTAGTCGAGGAAGCAGAGGAACGACATTACGGTTTTGCTATAAACAGGTTGTACTGGTTCATTGTGATATTTGCAATTGTCAGCAAAACATTCCAACTTGGACTGAAGAGATACTTGCAACAGTGATATGTCATACCTTAGCCTCTTACCACTTCCTAGTTGGTTTAGAGCCCGTATGTGATTATTTGTATTTGGCCTGTTTTCATATGTTTTTAGGGGATCCGCAGAAGAGAAGTGCCTAAGCGCGGGGGACTGGTGGGGAGAGAGAGCGAGCGAGAAGAGAACAGATAAGATCATTAACACAGAGGATCTGGGGACACAGGTTGCAGGCCATTTTTGCTGAGTACATAGATACAGAATTATGTCTGAGTGATGCTGCATGAAAAACTGATACACCCCGTAGAGTATGACAATAACAGCACTGATCTGATGTCCTTGTTCACACAGTTGAAACAAGAGAAACATGTTTTGAAGATTGTTATACTAGCCTAAAGTAAAATCACATTCACAATAAAGTTAATCAGATTAAATGTTCTGTGTATAATAACAGAGTGTTGTAAGGATCAAATGTCACAACATGAACTTTTCACCAGCAGCAGCATAAAACCACCCCATTTTGTTGGTAGTCCCCTGGATGGCTTTGCCAGACATGCTTTGGCAGAGATAGTGAGAGTAGAGCGAGAGCTGGGCAGAGTAACAATGCCCTAAATGTGAGTCATGAGGAGGGGGGCCACAGTACCTTCTGTCCCTCTGGGGAGGAGTGCTGTTGTCTGTCCATCTCCATGGTCACCACCGATGTGCTGCTTAGGAGAAAAGAAGAGCAAGAAAAGGGGTGGAAGAGAGTGCTTAGATAATGCCTTGGTTTTATGTCCACTTAGGCCTAACCATTGGATAAACATATTGGGTACTTCTTCCAGTTAATGGATTACATACAGTATATTATTGGATTACAAATATGTAATTATGATGATTGTGATACATGTACTGTAGTTTTACAGTAACATCACCGCCAGGTTGTATCTCTAGTGTAGAACAAAAGTCTACACACTTCCATCTCAACACAATGACTCTGCATGCAGACAGTGTGTGTACATGTGGCCGTGCGTCAGTCTATATATTAAGCTGGCAGGCAGGCAGGCTCTCAGGTGGGAATAGGAATACACAGAAAAGAGAGAGGCTTGGGGTCCATCTTAGTCTGGTGGATACTGCAGGGTCAAATTGATGCAGTGGAGCGAGGGCTGAGTGCTGAAATTAGGTCCGGAGGAGAAGTGCTTACTCGTGTCTCCTCTCCTCTTCACTGCCATCAGAAAGAGAATCTCGCCTGGCCTGTGATCTATCCAGAGCTTGAATATAATAAACCACAACTCACATCAGTTCAGTTATACGAGGCCAAATGAAGGCATCAGTTGAAATGATCACTAATAATTTCAACATTGCTTGTATTACCGCCATATGTATAATTCAAATCATCAAAGAGCAACCTTGATTCAAGTTGTCAACAAAGAATAACTGACTACACCTGTTATGTTCTTTGATGAATAAAGCACAACTCATGTCTGCAATAAAACTGTAAGCAGAGGAAACAAATCGGCAGCTGAGAACAGAGCAGGTGGTACCAAGGAGCTATTCCCCCTCTCTCTCTCTCTCTCTCTGTGGACCACAATACTCATTTCCTGGTGACTCTCATCATACATTTGTAACAGCCTTAGAGGCTTAGCACTATGCTGCTCGAAAATTAGACATGGTGGAGTTGTAATATCTCACGAGAATCACAATAGCTGGTTTAGCCAAAAACAGATTTTGGATGGTGGTTTTTCATGAAAAGCGATATGAATGATGCTTTGAGGAGCTGTGTTTTGTTTCCGGTGTTGACACCCTGTCATTATTGCAATCACTTAATTGTAGACCTCCCTGTATCAATTTCTGAGGACGAGGAAAGACATTTGACCTCTGTAGGGTAAATCCATTTGAATTCAAATCCCATTTTGACTGCAACCCTTTTGATTTGAAAGAAACATTCCATACATAGTTGCCCATTGTACAAGTGATCATACTTTTTGGACCTTAATGCCAAAACATTCAAGCGCTAAAGGTGCTCAAAGTTGACCTATGTTGCATACCGCACTATACCATGTGACATCCATGTCTTCATCACTGGATAAGAAAAATGGTTGAGATTGATATCATTTAAAAGCTTTTAAACAGGGTTGTCAAACTGTTTAATAAATACATTTTCTAACCTTAAAATGTCAATTAAATAAAAATGTGCTAAGTATTTCTTTCATATTCGCATATGTTGTAGCTTAGACCCTATTTTATAATTGTTTGAGGTTTTTGCGTTGTAGCCGCCATCGGTTGAGACTCATACTCTTGAATACAGGGTGGGTGTCATGTTTTGGCTGATGAATGTACTAAAATGGGAATAAAATTGAAATGTTGACTTTCAAATGGTACCACAAAGATGGTTGGTCCACACATCAGATATTGTTGACTTTAATGGGAATATCTGTTGTTTTAAATTATACTGTCAATCCTCCATCCTCTATGGAAATCACAGAAATATTGGAATATTGGAATAGACATGACCATTTCAGTTGACATTCAATGGTGGGTGGACCGGTGGCCATCTTTGTGGAAGTAATTAGAAGTTAAAATGTCAATTAAATTTAAATGTCAATGGTGTCCCAGCTAAATTGCAGTGGTCTGAAGGGATAGGTCCATTCTATGAATTATATTTCTATGATTGAAATGGCACCAACCCTGTTTTGAAGAGCATGTTGTGTCTCAACCGATGGTGGGCACAACACAAAAAAACCAGAGTTTACGCGTTTTTAGATCATTTATATTAAAAAGGTTTAAAGAATGTCCGTTTTTTCAAGAAATTATTAAATAGTTTGAAAACCCTGTTTGTAAGCATTTCAATTATATCAAATTCAACCATTTATCTTTTCCAGTGATGAAGACATGGATGTCTCAGTGTGGTATGCAAAATGGGTCAACTTTGAGCACCTCTATATCTCCTGAATGTTTTGGCATTCAGGTCCAAAGTCACTTTCTGACCACTTCTTCCATTGGCAAACATGTATGGAAAGTTGTGTTTAAATCAAAAGGGATGCTGTCAAATAGTGCTTGAATTCATATGGATTTACCGTGTAGGAAACCATTTCGAGGCACTTAAAATGTTTTCCATAGCTGAGCTATTATTAAATTGATAATTCTCCCTGCAGTAAAATACATTGTCGAATATTTAAATCAATACTATGCGGCACCGCAGCAGGAGAAGTAGTGAAGCTGGGGATGTGGCAGATAGCCAGAGGTCAAAAACAGTGCCACTGTAAGTGCACAGGGCAAACATCACAATATAGGACATGCCTAAATCTAGCCGAATTCATAAAAAATATCTACATAGGATCTTTGTACACCAACTGTAGTCTAGATAACTAAGTCATGGCTTGTCCATTGGGCTCCTTCCATTTCCACCCTACTACTTATGATTTCATAACGTCTTAGGCTATCCTTACAGCATTATGAACGCAAAGCTTCCACCCTACATGTATTAGCCCACCTTCTTCATAACACCGTCAGCAGCCTAAATGAGTTCGACTGGTCAGTCACAGCAGTTGAAAGAGAGCTTTGAGTCTGGCTTGGTGGTTCAAATCCATGGCTCACTGACACAGTCACTGCAGCTTTGTTCCCGTCTCACCCCTGTGGGCACTGTTGACAGACGGACTGCCGCAAGACAGCTCAAACCAGTCTATGGTAGGTACAGCTAGATACTTCCCACATAACTCATCCACTCTAGGCACTTACAGTTATTTATAATTGAAGAAAATTGTTACGGTGAGCATTTAGAGGATTCTAGAATGACAGGCTACCTTTAGAATCTGTCAGATTAATCTCAACGTACTGACCCCCATGGCTCTAAATAAATAAAATATTGAGGTCACTGGTGCTCCCAACTTTAAAAAGTTACAAGCACCACATGAAATTTAGGAGCAGCAGAAAATATGATTTTTGAAAAATTGATTGAGATACAACCTATATGAATTCTAGCTACTTTTGAAGCACATTCTGTGCTCTAGAAACCAGGGGTTGGAACCTGTTCAGGTAACAGAACTGAAAACTGGAAAATTAAGTTTTTCCAAGGTACAGAAGCGGAACCTGTAACGAAAGTGATCCATACTTTTCCGGAACAGAACCGTTATTTTAAAAGCATGGGAGCCGGTTATTAATGTTCTTTTACATTCCACAATTTTTTTCTAGTCCCACAAAAAAACACAACAAATCGCCTATGCAAAGCCCTCACTCTGTCACTCAGAAACGTATTCCAGTGTCTGCCTGCAAGCTGAAAATCTTTGCCAGCGTGTGTGCGTGTTCAGGCTACATGCCCCTCCGAAGCATAGGCTACTGTACTGACGTTACAATCATGATTCAGAAGATAGGGAGAGAGACTTGTAATTAGCTAGAGAAGAATGGATTCACTTTTTCAATGCTAGTTAAGGATACTATAGACTTAATAAATCCAACGTCAAACGTGATAACTAACTACAAAAAGGTAAGATGTGTTTTTAATTCTGGTGCTGCTCTGCATACAGAAGCTTGTTAGCTACAGTGCCTTGCAAAAGTATTCATCCCCCTTGGCGTTTTTCCTATTTTGTTGCATTACAACCTGTAATTTAAATTGATTTTTATTTGGATTTCATGTAATGGACATACACAAAATAGTCCAAATTGGTGAAGTGAAAAAAATATATATAACTTGTTTCATTAAAATTAAAAAAATTATAATAATGGCAAAGTGGTGCGTGCATATGTATTCACCCCCTTTGCTATGAAGCCCCTAAATAAGATCTGGTGCAACCAATTACCTTCAGAAGTCACATAATTAGTTAAATAAAGTCCACCTGTGTGCAATCTAAGATGATCTAATGATCTTAATATATATGCACCTATTCTGAAAGGCCCCAGAGTCTGCAACACCACTAAGAAGGGGGCACCACCAAGCAAGCGGCACCATGAAGACCAATGAGCTCTCCAAACAGGTCAGGGACAAAGTTGTAGAGAAGTACAGATCAGGGTTGGGTTATAAAAAAATATCCGAAACTTTTAACATCCCACAGAGCACCATTAAATCCATTATTAAAAAATTGAAAGAATATGGCACCACAACAAACCTGCCAAGAGAGGGCCGCCCACCAAAACTCACAGACAAGGCAAGGAGGGCATTAATCAGAGTGGCAACAAAGAGCCCAAAGATAACCCTGAAGGGAACTGCAAAGCTCCACAGCGGAGATTGGAGTATCTGTCCATAGGACCCCTTTAAGCCGTACACTCCACAGAGCTGGGCTTTATGGAAGAGTGCCCAGAAAAAAAGCCATTGCTTAAAGAAAAAAATAAGCAAACACGTTTGGTGTTCGCCAACAGGCATGTGGGAGACTCCCCAAACATATGGAAGAAGGTACTCTGGTCAGATTAGACTAAAATTGAGCTTTTGGCCATCAAGGAAAACGCAATGTCTGGTGCAAACCCAACACCACTCATCACCCCGAGAACACCATCATGGTGGTGGCAGCATCATACTGTGGGGATGTTTTTATCGGCAGGGACTGGGAACTGGTCAGAATTTAAGGAATGATGGATGGCGCTAAATACAGAGAAATTCTTGAGGGAAACCTGTTTCAGTCATCCAGATATTTGAGACTGGGACGGAGGTTCACCTTCCAGCAGGACTGACCCTAAGCATACTGCTAAAGCAACACTTGAGTGGTTTAAGGGGAAACATTAAAAAATATATATATATGCA